AGATTATAGGGATTGCTGGTGTGCGGGGTATTGCGGGGGTGTGTGGCACTCTTGCTTACTGTTATTTTAGTCATTTTGATGACAGTCGTTTTGATGAAATCACTTCTCTTAATGAACGGCTGTACGTGCAATAGTGGGAACTTGAGTACCTCCTCATTTTAAGCATTATTTTCATTTTATCCACTCTTCGTATATATTTGCATCTTGACTTTCTTTAAACTTCAGTTAATGCCACTCTGTAAAATTTTTTAATCTTTATAAAGTCTGTGAAATTTATGAAGTTTTAAATTTATGAGGTCCAAAATTACTTTACTTTCATATTTGAAGAAATATGAAAGGATTTTAGGAAGGAAAAGTGAGAAAGTGAATTACGGAAGAGTACAAAAAATCAGAAGCTAAGAAGCAGTTGCATGTAGAGATTTGCTTTTGCAATCAATGAAAAATGGTGCTATTTTCAGAATTTGCCGTTGTTTGAGATAATAAAAGAGTTGTCCAACTGGATCTTTATTCATTAGGTGGACATTGAAGGAATTTTGGACTTGTTTCAAACATGGATAATCAGACAGGTTTGTTTCCTACCATTCAAAATATTCTGGAGATTTGTTCTTTCAGACTAATTATGAAATATAAATTTCAGAAGAAGCTGGAGATAAGGAATCGAAAGAAGGTGTTGAACAGAGAGAATGGCTAGCTAAACAGGACCTGAGCAAACTGGACCCGGAAATGCTTACACCACTAACAGAAGAAGTAGATTTACTTGTGACCTATTTCGGTCCCTCATGAAGATATGATTTCTTTTAATGATTTTTGAAAATTTCTGGAAAATATTTCATTCCATTTTCAGGTGATTAGTCGACAAGCAACAATCAACATTGGGACAATAGGACATGTGGCGCATGGTAAATCCACTTTAGTAAAAGCGATTTCTGGTGTGCATACAGTCAAATTTAAGAACGAATTGGAACGAAATATTACGATCAAATTAGGATATGCCAATGCAAAAATTTATCGTTGTACAAACGAATCTTGCCCGAGGCCAAATTGCTACAGGTGTTTCATTTGTTTGAATAGGGCATATCTGGCACTAATTTGCAGTTTTAACAAACCCATTTCTTCTGTTGGTCATTACATTTTTTCGTATAACTTTAAATTAAAATCTTTTTTCTTCAGATCTTTTGATGTTATATCGCTTTCTATAGGGATTACTCCAGCAAATCAAATAATTTACTTTACATTTCAGAAATATTCCGCCAGTTTCACTTGCAGTTAAATTAATTTTTGCAAGTGAAACTAGCGGAATTCATGTCTAGACTTAATTATGTATGCAGTGATCTGGGAGAGCTAAAAAATCTTTTGCGGTTATCTTCGTTAATCATAACAAGATCCAAAAATTATTTGAATTAGAATTTAGTCATTACATTTTTTTGTATAATTTTAGGTCAGCAGGTTCAAGCACTCCTGATCTATTCCCATGTGAGAGACCCAATTGTGGAGGCCAGTTTAAATGCGTTCGACATGTGTCATTCGTGGATTGTCCTGGTCATGATATTCTTATGGCAACAATGTTGAATGGAGCAGCTGTTATGGACGCTGCCTTATTGTTAATTGCTGGGAACGAATCTTGTCCGCAGCCACAAACTTCGGAGCATTTGGCTGCAGTGGAAATTATGCAGCTTAATCATTTGTTGATTTTACAGAATAAAATAGATATTATTAAAGTATGTGTTGGAAAAAAATTTTGTCGAAAAAGAATTTCAAAGTAGAAATTATTTTCCTATCTTCTGTGGTCTTAATGCTGTCCTCTACTTTTTTTTAGGAAAGTCAGGCTAGAGAACAGTATGAGCATATACGCAGTTTTGTGCAAGGTACTGTAGCAGATGGTGCACCAATTATTCCAATATCAGCTCAGTTAAAGTACAATGTTGATGTATGTATTTTATTTACTTCCTTTTATGATATCACTTAAATTATTTCAAGTTTTTTGTTCGAGTCTTGTGAAAACTCTTTTTAAACAAAAAAAAATTGTAAATTTCTTTGTGATTTTAAGGTTGTTTGTGAGTATATTTGCAAAAAAGTTCCCGTACCTCTACGAGATTTCTCATCTGCTGCTCGATTGATTGTCATTCGTTCATTTGATGTGAATAAACCGGGTTCCGAAGTTGAAAATCTCAAAGGTGGTGTAGCCGGTGGATCAATTTTGCGAGGTATTTTATTTTGCACCTTGGTTTTTCAACAGTTTAGATTAAAGATGAATATGCTAATTTTACTGATAATATGCTTATTTTCAAATGTTATTTTATTATACACAAGAGTACTATTTACACATTGGATTCCTAAGTTCAAAATTTTGAGCGTTACGTATTGCTTTCAGCTGTTATTAATGCTCAGATTTAAGTAATCGAACCCAGAACCCGCTTTTATAATTCAAATTGGAGCTAGAACACTGCTACCAACCAAGTTTACTTGATTTTCGTTGTTTTGAATATATTGTTCATGTTATAGTGGCGCTGCATATAACACCAGCATATTTATAATTTATTTTCAGGAATCTTACGTATCGGACAAGAAATTGAGGTGAGGCCAGGTATTGTTTCAAAATCAACTGATGGAAAAGTCCAGTGCCGACCCATATTTTCACGTATCGTATCATTATTTGCTGAACAAAATCAGTTGCAGTATGCTGTACCTGGTGGTATGTTTCCATCAAACTGTTAATTTTTAGGATTGTGATTGAAACGATTCATAGCAATGAATATCTAAAGAGTTGTCCATTCCTTGTATACATTAATTGGTACGACTATTCTACCATAATATTTCAAAAATGGCAAATGCAAGCAGCTAACCAACATTTGTTAACCAAAAATTTACCAAGTAGCAGTATGTTGAGTTATTTTTTAGGCAGTTTTGATCAGATTTTATCAGGTAAAAATTTCGAAATTTCGAAGAAAAAGAAATTGTGAATAAAAGAAATAGTTGAATAATGAAAAAAGTTCAAGGATCTATTTCCAGGTTTGATTGGCGTTGGGACCAAAATTGATCCAACATTGTGCCGCGGTGACCGTTTGGTGGGTCATATTCTGGGTGCTGTGGGAACTTTGCCAGATATATTCACGGAAATAGAAATCGCGTATTTCCTGTTGCGAAGGCTACTTGGTGTACGTACCGAAGGTGGCAAAAAAGCTGCAAAAGTGCAGAAATTAAGTAAAGGCGAAGTGCTAATGGTTAATATTGGGTCATTATCAACCGGTGGTCGTGTCATTGCTGTAAAAGGTTTTCACGATTACTTTGTTTCTGTTTTCCTTTCTTTGATTTTTACTGTTTATAATAATGTCTCAAAGTCTTTAAAACTTGTTTTCATTTTTAGTAACTTAGCACCTCTTGAATTTCAAGCTGATTTTGAATACTTGCAGGTGATGCGGCAAAAATCGCTTTGACCGATCCAATTTGCACCGAAGTAAATGAAAAAATAGCACTTTCACGACGTATTGAAAAGCATTGGCGTTTAATTGGTTGGGGAACAATACGGCGTGGAACCACTATCAAACCAAATTCGAACTAAATTATTTAAGATATCAATATGGCCAAAGTTGCTCATTGATGAGCGCCACTGTCTTTCCTTTAGATCTGGGTAATGTAGAAGGATGTCGGCAGTCATTTTTGAGTAGAAATAATTTAAAAAAAACAACCAACAGATTATAAATACGGAAACTACAAACATTCGTAATACAAAGCTTAAAAAGAGCCGGAAATTTTAATGTGCTGGGAATTGAGAAATGTTCAAAAGTTATCAGCTTCTCGATCAGCACTTTTAAGTAACCTACTAAAATATGCTAATTGTCTTTTATTGGGTAATTTGTTATTATTTCTTCCTCTCTCTTTTGGTTCATTGTTGACATGTTTTTTAAAAGTATATTGAGAATTAAACTAGTGCTGTTTGGAGTAATGTTACCAATCACATAAATTTTAGAAATGGGCAGAACATAAAAATTGAACGGCATTGAGGATGCATGCAGCATTTTGAAAAACGAAGAGCATGAAGTTAGTGTAATAGGTTCATATTTTGGAAATATTGAAGTTACATTAAGACGCAAACTTATATGCAGGCTGATTTGCTGCACTGAAAAATGAGTATCACTCAAGATCTAAGGCATGACGAATCCAAGGTACAGCAAGTAAATAGTTCATTTTGCTTTACAGCCAGAACCTCAACCACCTGGTAAGGATTATGCTCTGCAATGCCAGCCGTAGTAGTAAAGCGGCATATCAAAGTAGGAGGCCAATTGTTAAGGCTGATTGGCTAGAGTTCTTTCCAGTTTCAAATGGCGCAATATACTTTAAACTAATATATATATATATATGAACCGACTGATTGGTTATATGTTTCTACAGCTAACAAATTAGTTGCACAGGCTGCAGTACAAACATTTTTATAGCGAACTGATCAAAATAACAGCAACCAGACAAATATGTAGTAAAGTGATAAATAGCAAAAATAAATTGAGATCAATTAAACGACAATAGAAAATGAGATCATGAAGAAAAGCTCTGCCAGAAAATTACAAATATAAAAAGTGAGGGACAAGTCTAAGAATAACTTACACGCTAATATCCCATTGTAGTGCTATATATATGCATACAAGCAGAATCCATCATTTAATGGAAACTACCAAAAACATATACTAAGTAGAAATAAACTTAGTATGACTTTAATGAAAAACCTCAAACAAAACATTTTGAATACAGCTTCAGTTGAAAATTCCAAGTGAAGAGTGAATTCAAAAAGCCTCAAGTAAACGGAAGCCAGTTAGCATACAGTAATGTACCAATATAGAAATAGCCCAATAAGTAACATAACAACAAAGCATGAACCCAGTGCGATCTCGAAAAATTGGTGAAAAAAGGAAGAAAGGTGGGATACTGTACATCATCTAATGTTACCAAAGGGGTTCGGCGATCCATGTACTGTGCTATAACTAGATAAACAAATGGTGATGACGAAAACAGAATTCGGGTGAGCACTTCCACATTGTACAGCACCAAAGCCAGAACTGTCAACACTAACGCATGTATCATGAACGGGAGTATGCTATTCGCGTCACGGAATGTGCCAAGAATGATGCCAAATAATGATCTACCATGAAAGAATGGTTTATGTTAGATTTATATTTTCTATCTACACTTAACTTTATTTAGATAAAAAATTTATTGATATGAATCCAATATTTTTACAGCGCGATTCCAAATAAAGTAAAGCAGAAATTTAAGAATATGCCCATCATAAAGTGTAGAAGCACATGTTCTGTACTGACTAGATGGTTTAAATAAAATGAATAAATAGGGAGTGGACAAGTGTTTCGCATTATTTACAAAAGAAAAGCTTATTTACAAATCTACTTCACCACAGTGAACGCTACTGAGAAATAAATAATACAACACACCCATGCAATGCTCTCAAACGATTGAATTCAAACAGAGAGCCGTATAAAACGATAAAAATAGCTGGAGCGGCCATTACGAAGCAAGGTAGCTTTTTTAACTGCCAGTAGCCAAAAGGCTTTACTTGCCAGTATTTCTCTTGAATATCCTTATAAAATGAGGGAATTGGATATAATATATTTTGTCTCTTCCTGCAAAAAACAACTTATTATCCCCCTTCCTTTCTCATAATTATAAAGTTTTTTTCTTTAATATAAACATAGTTAGCATATGATTACCATCTTTTTAAGAGTTGCAGAATCCAAATGCTACTAGTAAATTATCAAAAAATAATGTAAAAATCAAACGCTTACCCACACCACGTCAAGTTTTCTAAGTCATGAGGAAGGACCAATCTGGCTTGAAGTGCATATTGATACACAATATCAGGCATCACTTTTGTTCTACCGTGAGTAATATTCCGAGAACAAAAACTATGATGCATTCTTGAATCATGAGATACCACCTGACTTCCAAATATACCCCAACAGATCGTAATAACCATGATAAAGCGAAACAACTGAAAAGTCCATAAAAAACACAAAGAACTGATTATTAAATTTGAACAGCATGCGCTCCCGCACAGTTTCTGCCACGTAACAAGCCAACTATTAAACAGACAAGACTAAAGACAAAAGGATAAAGCAATCATTTCTTAGGCTATATTTAAACATGGGAAATTGTTCACGAATATACAGAAACTCTGGCTCAAATTTAAATATATCTACTAAACATGCATGATATTGAAAAATTTTCAGGAGCTATCTAAATCTTAATAAATGGTAAGCATTTTGGATATGAGAGCAATTTATTGTATTCATTGTGCTTTTTATTTATAATTCCATAAACAAATTTGTTGTGTTTTTATTTATAGTTTCCATAAACAATTATCACTTCAAAGCGAATCCATGATAAAGTTGGAAAATGGAAAACCTTTTATCTATAACGTACAACAACAGGAGGATATTGCACAACAACAAAACGTCTGATGATTTCACACCTTCAGTAACACAGTACCATAGTCGCGCTCCCAGATGAATTTATGTAATGCCATCGAGTAAACTGTTTCTATCATCAGCTGGAATATAATGTAACCGAAATTGAAAATACCATTTGATCTGAAAAACAAATTCAGCCGTCTTATATTTATAACTATGCACTAGATTCTACAAGTGGAAGAATAACCATCAAATAAAGAATGACGTCATATAGTCTCGCTTATTTCTTCAAATGATACTAAGATGCGAGGTTTCATTGCTAACCACAAAAACTTATGATAAATGTAATGAATGATTTATGAGAGCTAAACTACAGGTCATTTCGAAATAACTACTTTTCGACATACTGAGGTAATGGGAACAGCAACTCTAAACTTAGCCACACGACGACTTTAGGAAAAGTAATTTATATGCGAACATAATCTTTATTAAATGACTTGATGAGATAAATGAAGAAGGAAAAGAGAATTCTTAAATTTCCCAAATCCTTCTCGTTTCTAATCTGTCAAGAGAAAAAAAAAGGAATATAAAAACTAACCTGGTGGCAAATGCGAATGAAAAGAATAGGGCAGCGATAATATATCGTATAAACGATAGAGATGGATCGGCATAAAGTGCGAACATACCACAAAAAGTTAGAAGCATATACACACTCTCGGAATAAACAGCAGAAAAAAAAATGCTAGCAGGATTTAAGGTAAACACCACGCAGGCAAGCAGAGCAAGCTTCGTCGACTTAGTAAACATGAGCAGGAAAGCATACAGTAGCTGACCGCACAGAACAAAGGTAACCTGTAAATTATTACGAACATCATATCTTAGAAATTCCATTTACTTAGTAAACATTAAATTACATCTGATCTTCAGTAGATTTTTCAAAGCACAAGTTTCATATATTATTTAAATAAAGCAATGATTATAGTCGAATATTTGCAATAAATTATGATATAGCTATGTCTATTCTTTTATGCTATATATCTGATCATTTTACGTTAATTTTTTCATTTTTACATCCAAAAGATACAAAAATCTTACAAAATTGACAGTGATGGCGGTGAATATAACAGCTGTCGAGAAATGAATGAATGGTACTGCCCAGCTCCAAATAAGTGTGAGAGAATAAATCAACGTTGGAAAGAGAGGAAAAAAAGCAAGATTGTTCTCATAAGTATAACCGTACTGAGCAATATGCAGGAAATGTACCGCATCCCACCTTGTTAAACCACCCAAAGAAGTGCGAATCCAGCAATCAACTTGGGATAATTCTGCTGTAACATTTGATAAATTAAACTGACAAAAGAGAACGACTGAATAAGCATTGGCTAAACACTAATCTTCCCATTTCAATCTGCTAGCTATTAAACATTTTCCAGCAATTTTAATGTAATATTATACAAGAAATCATAAATAAAAACAGTCAGCACTTCAAAATATTATGGTGCTAACCTTGTGAAATTGGAACTCCTTGAAAGGCGTCCGTAGGATAATCAGTTACTGCGACATTCATTACAAACTGTATGATAAATATCAATACGCGACTTATTATGCATTGCTTCAGGACAAAAAATGCATATTCCGCATCCCATCGACATTCTTTCTGTAAAAACAAACTCTTCGACCAAATATTTTTGAATACATACATCTTCATGATCCTCATATTTATATTTCAAGTCCTCAGCAAACACTTGTACGATGGAAGCCAGACCTGAATTTCCTGAAGGTGAAGCATACTGGAGGTTCTTTAGTTTTACCAACAACTGTGTAAGAAAGAGTCATCCATTCAAATTATCTGTCTCATTATTGCAAGGCACAATCGTTTACGAATGGCGCTCCAGACACAGTCGATAATCAAATTGTCCAAAATTGCCTTTATGACAAAATTTTTCGGATATATTTTTTGCCATATAAATTATATGTTTTTTTTTTTTGAAATTTAACGAACCAACGAATCGCTACGAATATAGTGATCTTCGAAATTCGTTACAACAGTGCTGACATCCCTTTCTTTTTCCTTGTCTGTTCGAGTTGTCATTTCCTATAAAATGATAACAATAATTTTATAACTATAATAGTAAGCATATAATATCAACTACTCACAACATAAAACACAAAGTATAAATTGCAGCATAGATCAAAGAAACCTCCCTGATTAGCAATATATATTAGAAAATAAATGTTTAGGTTAACACTTCGGTAAATTACACAAAGCAAGTGAAACAGTACAGAATAAGAAGGTTAAATTAATTACCGGATCAATTATATAAATGTAGTTAGAGAGAAAGAGATAACAAATTCGTTGGAAAGACAATGTAAAAGAAATAACAGAAACTCGACAATAACATACAGGAACAAAGCAAACTGACGAGCAAGCAATTTACAGTTGTCATTCGAGACAGTGCACAAATCTAACGGACTACTCGTTGATAGAAAGTAATGAAATGTTACGTTTCGGCAATTCAGGATGTCAGTGATGCAGCAGGGAAGTGTGTCTACGTCGAAGTATTCGAAGGACGTACAGTGGCGGTCATTACAGCGGTTAAAACGTGAGAGATCTGCCGATGTGTCGCAAGTCTTGAAATGTGTAATTCCACATGAAGTCACCAAACTGTTGGTAAATTTTATCTATAACGATATTGATAATGTTGAATACATCAAATGTTTTTTAATAGAATAAACTTATCGTGTTACGGGGAGCTTTTTTTCAAGTTTTGTTTTATATGGATGGGTTAATTTTCATAAGGTTGAAGTTTGTAATTTGCATGATGAAGAGATCGTTTGATTTTATTATTATTTTTTGTTGCATTTGAAAGCAGTAGCAAATTCGGCGGCGTAATTTCACTTTATGCTGATTAGCTATTTGTGATAAGGTTCATTGTTGATTTAATAGATGCTGGGAGAGTCCGAAAATTACCAATTCCAGATCTAGTTTTGTTGCAGACTACCACATCATCATCAACGATATCGCCAGAGCCAAAGAAACCACGTATACATTCCGGTTCCAGCACTCAATTAGAAAAACTGGGATTGAAACTGTCTGGTCGGATTCCACATGTGGTGCTGGAAGAGTGCTTGAAATGTACAGAAAATGGCGATAAATTGGAGTAAATGCTGATTTTTCGTTTAAATTTCAGTTTTTATTGGTATCATTGTTTTTCTTGATAGATTTATCCATTATTTTTCATTCATTCAGGATATTTTCACGCTTGCGAGAATTTTTCGGGGAACATTTGTCTGTTCTCAGTGTTGATTCACAGATTTATTGCGCAAAACTTTTGATCCAAATAGCAATAGCTTCAAGAGTTGTGACTGTAAGTAATACTTGCTTACTCTACGCTCTTCATATTTGCAAATCAGCTGATACAAAACAAAATATATGGGCCGAAATCGTGATATTAATGGCTGGTGATAAGGATAAAAAGGAAACAAGGTATGTGCGGAATGGAGTTTAAATTTTTCTCTGGTAAACCGAAAAATAGAAAACTTTATCCTTAATATAGAAATAGATAGTACTTTGATCACTGAATAATTAATAAGATAATGTAATAAAATGACTGTCCTTTAGCATTATGCAGGATCTATATGCAAATTTTTTCATTTGAAAACATTTAGGATCATATTTCATTTTTAGTTGAAAAGTAAGTCCATTTTCCAGTTGAATCTTTTGAGTATTAAATAAATTTTTCGCTTCAACAACATTGCAAATGAGAATGTAACTCGTTTATGGAATATTTAGTATTTCTTTATTGGTCAAATATTAGATGTTTCGCTGTTAAAGTTGTTTTTAAGTTTTCAGAGTTATTTGGTAATCTTATTTTCATTCTTATTATTTTTGATTTGCAGTTGTGGAGGCCAACTTTTCTTGCCTTTCTAATTATTACTTTTACTGATCAAAATAACATTACAGCTTATTTCATCGACCTGCTATATATGCTTCGCTGCTATCTTTTTTTGATTGGGCACTATCTGAAAGCTTAAAAATAGATCAGTACATGCAGCAAATAATTTGTGTGGCTGAGGAGAGTATACGCTTAACCGACCAGAACAGTCGAATCGCTGCTATCAATTTTTTTGTGACGTGTCTGGTAAAAGGTGTGATTATTTTAGCTAGTCCAACAATGAGTCGTTAACTGTCTAAAGAAAGCTGAAAAGCGGACAATGAAGCAGTGGAGAAAAAAGAATGACGAATTAGCAGAAAGTCTGCTTGGATCGCTAATGATTTCTGGTGTACTTTTTTAGGCAAGGAGCTGTGCTCGGTGCAGGAATTTCTGTGGCTTGAAAAACTTTTATCAAAAATGGCAGAAGATCGTGATTCACGAGTGCGAATAGCTGCAGTAAAGGGTCTTTCAACGATGGCTGCTAGTGGCCGTTTGCTCAGTTTCTCTATTTATCAGCAAGTGAAAAATGTATGTTTTTATAACTTTAATATGAACAGAATTCCATATTGCTCAAACCTATCTACACTATGTTATTCGAAATGAATAGAAAATTTTTCATTTCGCTTTCAGGAAATTAAAAATTAAAACATCTGTTTCTTTTTTTGCCATGAACGTGAATAATTTGAATATGAGTGTAGAAAAATTCATATTCGTTGGTACTTCATGAATATCTGCTCTTTTCTTTTGTTGACTGTAACATTCAGAACTGTACTACGAAGTCTTCTTTGTATTTATGCCGCTTCACTATTGATATCCTGTTCGTGCTTTTTTTTCACTAAGTTTGCCGAAGTTAAGAATTCATCTTTTTTATAAATACATCGAGCATGTAATCATTAAGAACTTTTTTTCAGTTGTGTGAAAATTCATCAAAAATAGTTCGAACAGAGGCGCTATATATACTGAAGGTATTCGCAGACCACCGTCCCGAAACGTAATAATCAGTAATTAGTGATTTTATTTCATACGTTCCCGTGTGTTTATATGAGATAACCTCCCTACAAGCTAAATATTTCCTTAATTTTCCATGAAAATTTCATATTTTTTCATAAATGTCATTTTACATTGTGCGAAAAAATAAAGTGTTAAGGGAAATCGTTGGTCGAAACGGTGCGAAGCTGCGATTAGTGGACGATGCATTTGCTGCTGTGTGCCATGCAATCAACGATGTTGAGGTGAGATGTTAACTTGCCAGGTTGTAATTTCTTTAAATCTTTGTAAAAAAATGTTTTAGCAGGCTTTATTCTCTTAACACTGATCTGTAAGATTCTAATTGTCTGCAGAACTCTTTTATTGCAAAAATACAAAAACACTAGATAGTAAAAACTTTTCAAGTTTTGTTTTAGGTCACTGTTCGGGCTGTTGCTGCTCGACTTTTGGGTGATTTTAAACAAGTATCCGATTCTTTTCTGGATCAAACGCTTGACAAGAAACTGTTGAATGCCATGAGAGTAAGCTTTTATTAAATTCAATAAAAATTCTATGACGAAAGACTTCTAATTTACTTGTTCTAGATGTCAAAAACGCGTGATGGTGCTTCAAAAAAACCTCAAGCATATGGACCACGACGTCGGCGCTCACAAGCAATAAGTGAATGGTCAACGGGGAAGAAACTGGGAGAAGATGTACCAGTTGAGAGGTTCGATGAAGAACAAACTAGTATCATTTCTTCGGGAGCTTGTGGTGCTTTCGTAACGGCATTGGAAGATGAATTTATGAGTATGTTTGGTAATATCAATAATAGATCTAAGGTTTTCAAATTTCGAAAACATCATAAAAGGATTGCAGAAGTGGATTTTTTCGAACCCAGATTGTTGTTCATTTTTCATTATACTAGCGTGAATTTTTTAAGCAAAGAGTTCTACCAACAATATTAACTGTAAAACTTTTAGTCGTTCGACAGGCGGGTGTTTATTCTCTAGGTCAGCTGGCCGCTGATCGTCCATTTTTAGCAGCTGCTGCTTTAGATCATTTAGCCGATATGTTTAACGATGAAATTGAGCAGGTTCTTTAGTTTCATTGGAAAACTCTGTTGCACGAAATGTTTAGTTTTAAATTTTTGTTTAATTTTTTTTCTTATTATTCAATTTCTCTGATTCCATTTCCATCCTTCTGTTTAATTTCCATCAAAAACTGTTAGTTTAAATAATTTCAGTTTTATAGCACCAAAGGATTATTTATGCATATAAATGCAAGTTATTCCTTTTATATTTTATGGTAAGAAAACTTAAACCTGAACGAATTTCAGGTACGGCTAGATGCTGTACGTGCTTTAACACCGCTTGTTGTCCATGGTATATTACAAAAAGAGCAGCTCGACACCATATTAACCGTTCTCGATGTTAGTATTGTATTGTTTTTTTAACGATTTTAATTAATTTTTGATCTTGTAGTACAGATGATTTGAATTTTGTTTTTCGCATTATTGTTGCATTTTAAGGATGCTTTTCCGGACAGTAGGGAAGCTTTGCGTGTATTATTGTCAAGATCAACGTTAGGTACTCCTGATTGCCTTCGGTATGTTGTCAAAGCTCTACTAAACTGTATGAGAAGATTCCCAATTGATCGTCAGTCAATTTTCAAGTATGTTTGATCTTCTGTTCATATTTTTAAGGAGAATTTTCCAAATATTCTCCTAATTTTACGATGTTTTTCAATCAAGTTACATCAAAATTAACATTTTTAAAACTGTTTAGATGTATGAGCGATCTTGGCCGTCATCATGCAACATTCTTACAGCTCTTGTCTGATGAATTGCTGGAATTGCATCCCGTCTTCGATATCACAGAACCAGCAGTTGACGATCAGTTCTGTAAGCGTTTCATCTGAGCATTTTCGCTAAGATTTCTAAAGATTTTAGAAAATATAAGCAGATTATTTATCTAATGGCATAGGGAAAGTGGAAAGTAATAGACATTTGTTGCATTTCATGCTAAAAGTTATCAGAAATTTGCACTGTAGAAAATAAATTGAAAATGCATGGTAAACTATATTTCATTTGAACTAATCTCTCTGATTGCTTGCAGAAATTTCTGTCCTTGAATTTTTGTAGATTTGGCCAAGCTTATATTAATATTAAATGGCGCAAGTGTTCATGATC